GGGCACTTTCCCAGATAAAGACTTGAGCTGAGGGCAGTCTTGATTTGCACAGTTCCCAAGAGAATAGGCCGTTTTAGAATAGGCCTGAGTCCTAAGCCCCATGTTGTCACACTCATGGCTTTAAAAGCAGCCATAAAAAGAAGCGTGTGAGAATTACAAGGTGTTTGGTAAAGGTATAATAGCATAGCACTTCAGTCAGGTAAAAGTTGCTTTCAAACAAATGGAGCTCAATCTGTTCACACTTCAGCGTCTCAGAACAGCTTTGCCTGCTCCTCTGCTAAATTGCTGTAAAACAGCCTGCATGATCTTCTATGTAAAAACACGTTCAAAAAATCAGAATTATTAAGTAGTTTTTCTTTTAATCCAACAGCTGCAAAGCTTCTCAAATGTTTCACGGTGAAAATAATTTTCTCCAGATAGGACTTTATTTGTTACACGAATCCCCTCTAGCTTCCCCTCAAGCAAATTTTATTGATGCAGTCCTGTTAGTTGTTTCCAATTAGTCCTTGGAAATTAGGGATTCTAAACATTTCCATTAGAAATTCTTCATACTAGTCTAACCAGTTTTATACATGTTTACAGCAGGCATACTTCTTATTTCAAAAGATGGTAACCACAGATCCTGAAATAAATGTTTCTTTTCTTGTGGATTAAAGAGAATAAATGGGAATGGATAATAAAAAAAAGTCTGAGTAGGAAATAAGGAGCATATTTTTCAGTTGCTCTTCATTCACTTTTTCTCACACATTTTCATTTCTGAGCTATCTGCTGAAAAAAATCACCCCCAGTCCTATTATTCCAAGCTAAGTGTAATGGTCATCATTGCTTTCCTATTCTCTTACCTTCCAAGTGGCTCAGAAGAAATTATTCAAAAAAGTTAAAGCTTTATAACCTGAATACATTTGAGTACTTATAATAAAGCTAATATTGTAAAAATGCTAGTAAAAAGCCAAACATTACTTGTTCTCAATTAAAGGAATTAAGATAATGATTGGTTTCATCTCCCGAGATAGCTCTTATAACAGAAACTTGCAGCTGAAGGTGAGTATTTAGAGCCACAGAAGCTCTGAGTCACTCTTCTTATTTAGGAAGGTATTTATGAATCCACTCATCACTGTTATATACCAAGACTTCTGTGCTGCCGCAGAAATTCTTCTGTACCTTGCTGCATTGTTATATTTTAGTTATAGAGTTTCATATTCACCAAGAGATGAAGCCACTTTGGCATTTAATACTGAACTGTGGCATGACTAAGGACCACCCCAAATCCCAGTGTGTCCCACACAGATTAAATTTCATTTTACCCTCTTCAGGATAGGGTTTTAGTTACCATAGGATTATAAACCTTGGAAAAGTCCACTAAGATCACCTAGTCCAACCACCAACACATCACCACCATGCCCACTAATCACATATCCCTCATTGCCACAGCACAACACAGAGGTGCTCAGAAGATACCATGGTGGTCAAAAGCACCTCCAAACATGCTATGAAGGCTGACACCTCTCAGGGAGCCTGCAGTAATTGAGCAGATCTTTTGGGAGCCTTGTCACATTTTTCACCCTTGAAACTTAGCTCTGGGTCTGTTTCTTCTGCAGACAGGAAGGGCACTTCCTTCTCCAGGGTTTCTCTCATCCTGAAGTGGGACAGTGGGCTCCCTCTCTCCCTTTCATGCAAAAAAGGATTAGCTCTCATTCAAAGTACAATGTAAACTGGGTGCTGCCCTGCTATACAGCCTGTTCAGTGTGACGTAACACATATGGTAGGTACCACTACAGTAACCATGCTCACACACACAAAACAGTTCTTCTGTCTTGTAGATTCAAGATTCCAATATTCATATGTAATGTGTTTCAGCCATATCACTCTTCAGCTTCTTCAACTGAAACGTGCTGAATGTTTATGCTCTCTCTGGGGCAGGCTGTGGGGCAATCACGCAGCATTTGCATGAGCAGTGCAGTCAGGAATCAAATCCACTCGTGAAATGCAAACTCATCCTTCATCTGTCTCAGGATACACTGCTTCCATCAAGGTAAATGCATCATGGTGAAAGTATTAACTGTACAATAGAAAATTGTGAAACTTTGCTCTCCTGTAGGATGTAATGCTTGTCATATCAGATTCCACACACATGCTTTTTTTGGATACTTGAATGATTCAAAGCCCTCTTTGAAGCTACTGTGTTTGAAAAGTTACAAGCACTTTTCATCAAGACTGCCAGGAAGTCATTAAGACAGTAGAACAATCTTTTATATCTCCAAAATCCCATCACTCCCACACTTCTAACACACAAACATCTCCATGGGAAGTACTTAAAGGCACAGAAATAAATAAGGCATACAACCCATAGGCAAACACCAAAATCAACAACTTAAAATAATATTTTTGCAGTGTTCCAAAGAGTTTTACGTTTATTTAAATCCATAAATCCACAAATCAAGAATATGTTATCCGAGTGTAGCAACACCCACTGGGCATTTTCATCACTTCCACTGCCTTTGCCTCAGTTTGCACACTAGAGTTTTCAGCATCACTCACTCATGTTCAAGTTGCATTTTGGTAGGAATGAACTTGGGCTTGTACACCGTTCTTCACAAATTTTCTTTTGCATGTAGCATGCCATACATCCAGCCACACCTCATCTGGTTCAGTGGCACAGCACAGGTCTGCTTTTATGTCAGATACCAAACATATGGCGAGATGCAGGTTAAGACTGCCAAGTCAGCTGGGACAACTTTAGTAGACCAAAGGCACACTAGTTCAGTAATCCCATCATTAAGTGCATTCGGAGAGACAGGATTAGCATCAGGCACCGTCACCTTGGACTTCATTTCTTGCCTTGGTAAATCAGTGTGCCTCTCTGATCTTTCATCAACATGTAGGCATGTAGATAACCTTGAGTTTGGGCTCCAAGCACTGGTTAAACCATTGAAAAAATGTTGCCTTAAAGCCACACTCACTAAAATGATCATTTAATGCAGACTTTAAGAAATACACTTTCACCTCTGGCCAGCTCTCACTCTCTAGTGGCTGCACAGTTATGTTCCCTGTCAATTTCCTCCCTTATTGTACTTGCATTTCAGAAGGAAACAAACCTTCAAACAACCCTACCCTCCACCCCTTGTCACCCATCCCACTCCCTCCCTGCTCTGAATTCCTTTGCCATTACTTGATTTCCACTTTGTGCTCCCCACCCTCCTGCAGGTAGTCAGTCACTACCAAAGCCACAGACTTTTGTCTGCAGTTTTCCTACTGCTTTCTGCTGACTGGTCCTTCTTGCCACTGCTGCCCGCTTACATGAACGGAATCCAGTGATGCAAGGATGACAGTATTTTTCTGAACAGCAGAAATAACACCATGGCATATCTTTAGTACATAAAACACACTTTTTCCATCTTTGCAACGGTTCAAAACCAGCGTCTATTTTTTCAGTGTGAAAAGTAGCAAAACTTTTGGAATCAAAACAGAAAATTATAATCGTTACTGGAATGTGAAAAGCAGACCTATACATAATAAATTTCCCCATTGGAACAAGGTGCTGAGCATAGATTGTAACTTCAACACATTGTCTTATTATTTATCACATTAAAAACAACTTGTTTTTATCCAGATGTTACAATAATTGCATTTATAGAGGCATTACAGGGCTCTGGGACACACTGATGCCTTCCCTGTACTTTTCTACAGCCTGTGAAAGTAGAGGGGTGACATAAACAAAATCTGACATCTCCCTCCCTATAGATTTTGACAAGACCACTTAGTAGGACAGATTGCGAGTCCAACAGAAAATCCAGGTAAGTCTCAGCGGCACAAGTATTGCACTTAGAACAAAACAGGCACTTTCGATTAGTGTAACTTTTTTTTTTATTTCAGTTACTTTTTTCACATATAACTTCATATAAGCTACAAAAAGTGTGAAATGCAGAAATGATATTAAAACTGCAAACTTAAGTTTTGATAACAAAAATAAATGTGTCTTTCCCTGTTAACAATAACCATTTAAAATGAACCATATTTTGATGGATTCATTTAATAAACATACCATACACTTCCCAAAAATAAATAAAGAACATAATCAGAAGAAAGAAAAAAATCAATACCATCAACAACATGAAGCATTTAGTTGTCCTTTTTTTTTTTTTTTTTCCCTTAAAGACAAATTAAATTTCTAGGCACAGTTTTAGGCATTATAGAGGACACAGAGGCAACAGGTTAGTGTGCACTGCTCTGTACAAAAATACAGTCTGAATAAATTACATTGCTAGCCATAAGATTAGACTTCACTTACCAGTCAGTTCATTGCATGTTTAATAATATACAGGTACATGCTAATCCATATATATCATTTATATTTCAAACACATAGGTCTCTCTATATTTGTTTTTAAAATTTACAAAAACTAACCGAAGTTGTGCAAGAAGTCCAGAAGAGGTGCTAGGTACTTGTCAGCACCGGACGGTATACTTTAAGCCTAAAAAATACAAATAACTAGCCCTGCTTGCAAGTCCGCTATATATATATATATATATTTATATATCTTCATTCATATATATTTGGATGATAAACAATGGATTTGTGTGGGAAAAAAAAAAAATCCTGTCAGTGAGATAAAGCCAAACAACTGAAATAATGATGGCATGACACAAGCATAACACTCAAAAGGAATAATTTGTTGTACAGACACACAAAGACACGTGCTCTTGTGTTTGTTTTTGTGTCTAGAACAAAAAATAGGGCAACATTGTAGTCACTTTTCATTCAGCCCTGAAAAGCAGCATTTACTAAAAAGGAAGAAACTGAAGTAGCAACATAAGCTAACAAGAGGTTTCCAAGCTGATTAAGGTAGGTGCCTAAATCTGAACACTGCTGATGGACCTGAGGAGTTTGAGAGGTGCGCCCTCACAGCTAACGTTAGGCTCTGGAGGAAAATCAGGTGTTGAGACTGAAAAATTGCTTCTCCAACTCACATATGAATGAAGAACTTTGTTATTAGGCATCCATGTTTGTAGGGTTTTTTTTTGTTTGTTTGTTTATTTGTTTGTTTTTTTGCCTGAACATCATTCAAATTAAGAGCTGTGTGACTTCAGGAGTGCTAGCGATTAATCTGTGTGTGCCTTAAGGCTGACGCTTGATTTCACTCAAATTCTACATTAAAAAAAAAAACACTATCTGATAAATTAGAAGATGTGCTACGGGTTCAGCACAGTAACTTCCTGCCAGAATAGGCATAGTACTGTGCTACACTGGCACCAAAACACCGCTCTCCTAGAAAGGTACAGTGATCTTCTCACAGTGGGCTTCTCTACGTCAGCCTAACTCCCACGCCAATCTACAATACTTTCTGTGCTGCTAAGTAACAGCAGAACTACACAGCTGTTCAGAAAGATATAGAGTTTACTGTATACTGATTATCTGCCTTAAGTCAGTCTCAGGAAGAGCAGAGTTATGAATGCTCTCTGGTGCCTGCAAAATAAGTGGACATATTTTTCCCTCCCATCTTCTTTTCTCCTTAGGCATTGCCATACAATCCCTCCTAAATGCAGCTATCGTTTTGCTCCGCCTAATCTAATTAATCACCACTGGTTCAGGAAGGAGTGCTGATACAGAATATTCCGCTGTGATAGTAAAGACTTAACTCCCAAGAGGCACCGCATCTTAAAAATCACCTCCACACGGCAGCAGCAGTTTGAGAACAGCTTCTGAGAGTCAGTCCTGGGGTAGCACGGTCCCTACAGATCCTCTGCTCTCTGGGCACTGCGGCACAAACATCAACACCGCAAACGCATTCTTAACATCAAGGCAATCGGAAGCCTTTGCCCCGGAACCAGCAAAACCGTTTGTGCAGAGGTGGACAAGCAACAGCAGCATATCTGCTTGTGCAGAGGCCCACATAGAATATACTTTAAATTTCTCCATTAAAAAATAGTCATTTCTACAGATTAGAATTGTATAAAAATATGTTCATAATTAAATTCAAAAATATGAAAAGAAGGAAATTGTAAACAAAAATAAAAGTGATGCGGATTAAATTCACATAGAAGTTCTCTCTACTTTAACTTGGGTTCCATTTGGTGGGTACAGTCTGTGGATGTTTAAGTGGGAAGCATACCAAGCAAAGAGTAATTAGATACACAATCATCAGCCAGTCCATTACAAACCCAGCCTTTAAAAACACGAGATCAGCTCCTGCAGCGCTAATATTGTAATATGGATGTGATTGGGCCTTGGCTATATTCTTGATTATCAGAAACACTTGCAATCTAATTAGATTTTATTTTTTCAAATGGTAGTTTTTCTTCCTTGTAACTTTTTTTTTTTTTTACAATTTTTATTAAGTATGGAATTACATATGAAATAGAAAGTAGTTGTTTCATCCACTTCTACTTTAGTAGAAATGAACTTTTATGTATTTCCCATAACAGAGTCTGTACAAGGGCATATACAGAAGACAAATCATTTTAGGTTTATTTTGTAACACCAATCATGACTGTGGGTACTGGTCTAAGACCCCGACGAATGTGTACAACGTTAGTATTTTAACCACTGCACCACAGCTCCTATTACAATTTAAAGATAATTCTCTTTCTTCCTCTGAATTTATATATGTATTATATATACTTGCTTACACTAATACCTTCCAAAAATATAATCAAACTTGTTCCATATGCATTTTTTCATAATGCTGCTCAGAAGTTAAATGAGTCCTTAGGAAAACTGCAATTCATTCATGCATTTCAGATGCCTTAGGGACATATAAGCTCTTTTTGTTCTCCCCCCTATCTCCACCCCCGCTCTCCCCCCCTCAACAAAATACTCAAGAATTGAGACAACTTCCAACCACACAGTCAGAAGCACATGTCTCTGGGTTTGGACTTCCTTCAACAATCTGCTACAGCTGGCATGGTGATGTCGATTCATGAAATCCTCTCTGTCTGTGTAGCTGTTTTACTTCTCCCAGAAGACTGCTGAATGCAGATATTAGACAAGCCATTAACCAGTTACATTCACTGCCCTCGACACAGTCACTCGCAACTAATTCCTTAAGAGCTTTTCTGAGCAAGTAACAAGAGGCCAACACAGCCTATTGTACAAGATGCCATTGCCTGCTTATCAGACATTTGAATCCTCTATGATACAGGGAAACTTCTAAACGGAGCCTACACCAGCTGCTCCCCTGAAGGCAAAAGCAGATGCTGGCCTTGCATTCACATTCCAACTAAATTTCTCACAATGATCGCTGTCATGTAGATCCTTTGCTTGTTGTCAGGAAAAACAAAGCTTATGTATCAGCAGCTTGCAGCATCTGCCTACGTAAGATCAACAATCCTAGTGTTTGCAGTTCTTCTAAATGGTTGTAAAAGCTGGTTACAGTGTTCACACCCAAAAGGCAAAGGCTATTTTATCAACAGAGCAGACTGGTGCTCCACGAGTGTTCTAAAAAAACAGTGAGTTAGAAAAGATGGGGGTAATCCTTCTGGTATTTTTCTTTTCATTAAATGATTCTAGTAATAGTCTTCATAGTTCTTAGGGTTCAGACAATAAAGAATGGCACCCCCAAATGAAAATATAGTTGCACCCCAAGCCAGGCCATAGCCCCAGTTGAACTCATGGTATATTTTCAAGCTGACTGTTTCGATGAACTTGATTGGGTAGAGGACTAAGCTGCACACCTGAAGAACAACTGAAAGAGAAACAAATCAGATGTCAGAAGAGGCCTTAATACATTTCCATAAAACTACCACAAAACCAAAATTTGCATTTCCAAATGTTCTTGGTGCAGTTCTGTGTAGTAAGTACTGCCCTTTTTGAGTACTACATATTTATGCATACACACACATATGTATGCATATATATAATATTCATATACATCACATACGCAACCTTTACTTCATCCGAAGAACAGAGCAGGTCTTGCATATTCCTCTGATGATGAAAAAATGTTATTGTTATGCTATAAAAACAATCCATCAGGTGACTGGTAAATAAATAGTGAAAGCAATTTTTTCCAATTCTTTTCTGTCTCTCCTCATTGTATTTTGGTCTGGAGACATTATTCCTTCTGTAGCAACAAATCTAAAATCTCTTGTTCCAATCCTATTAAAACCAAGTCAAAACAATGAGAAGCAAGAATAAATGAATATTAAGAAATAAAGCTCAGAATCAAATCATTTACTTCATCTAACAGTAATTAATTGCAGTAGGTGATCCATATTTATGTTCAGTGGAGGCTCACCAAATTACCTATTTCACATGCATTACCATGTAGTGTAATCAGAATTAATGATATTACTGCACAGAATACCAAGGAATCCATAAAGTTTGATCAATCACTAAACTTCCCACTTGCAAAGCATTTCCTTGTATTACGAATTTAGAGGGCGGGTCAGAGATGTTTCATGCTAAAAAAAGTTAATAAAACAGATCAAATCCAAGGCACGAAAAAGCTTAAAAACCATTAGTTTTTACAGCACTGTCTCTGAGTGCCAGATCTCATGCAACTTGATCCACGCATCTGCAGAGAAATTCAGCAACTTGGCTATTGCGTTACATCAAAATAGCACAAAGTAACCTGAAAGGGAAAATGCAGATGAAGAACCCTAATTTTCATACAAAGAATTCAGCTTCACTGGTGCCCATTCTCTTTTAAAATCAGGCATACTGCTGACAGCATAATTGGGACAGCAGTCTCCAGAGTAAGCAGATGAAAATTATACTTATTTTGAAGTACGAGAACAAGACGCATGATTTAGTGATTCTCCCAGCTTCTAGTTCAGCCATCTACAAATGACTAACCATCCCAGGAACATATAAAAACTTCTTTTTTAACCTTCAAATTCAAGATCTGGCTCCCTTCTATCATTTAGCACAGCCAAATTATGAAGACTTCAGCACAAGATTTCTCCTACAGACTGCCATCCCTCTGCTGCGCTCAGGATGAGCGCACCCACAAAACAGAACACACGCTTAAGCATCTGCAGACCTGGGATGTATTCTAATGAAAGTTCAGTAGTGTGTAACATAATGCCATAATGACAGTATTAACACTGATTGGGAACATCTTTTATTTATTTATTTTGTTAAAGATTTTGCAAGGTATTTTACAAAGAACAATCACTCTTCATAGAATTTTTATAAAGCCAGTGGACAGCAAAGAATAAGACCACTAGGGCCTACAGAAGCCCTTTTGAAATTACACAGGGAAACCACAGGAAAATAATGTTAATTATATTCTCCTGTTGGTTGAACGTTTTGCACACCTGAAAACCATCATTTTCCTTTTAATTCCCACATGCCCTATTTAGTGCTGTCAAACTGTCACCATCCATTACACACCTGGAGCCTAATGCTCTCCTATCCTCAGGATGGGGACTGCAAAGGGGAGAGGACTTTTAGTACTGATTACATACACTGATAACACTGCATAAAACACACATTGGAAATTCATCCCTGCCTAGCAGCCAGTTAGCTTACAGACTAGTCTTTGGACTCCTCCTTGGGACTGACAAACTGAACAATGTTTGGATTTTCTGATGTGGGTTACAAAATCCACAGGATTTTATTTTTTTTTTTTTCTTTTTTAATCCCAGAGTTACTGAAGTGTTACTTTGCATCATTTCATTTTAATATAATTTTTGCTTGCCAGCTCACAAAATACTGTGCAGTACTGGAGAACTTTTGACAGCACATACCAGAGAAAGCTCCTACTCTTATGAAAAGATTATATATTCTAATTCTGTATAATGAGAGTATCATCACACCCCAAAACACTTCAACATATGTTCACTTTTAGAAGCATCTTTAAGACCATTCAAAGTCAAAGAGCATTTCCTCAGATGAATGGGTAAAAGTTCATTAAAGGCCTCCTGAACAGGGGCTGCAGCACCTTGGCTGGGTCAGTACAGAAATTGCCCTCAGTGCGCATGTATCTATCAAGTTTCAACCAAGGAAACTTTCTACTTTTCCTCAATCTAACATGAGAAGCATATGGAATTTTATTCTATAGACTGGACTCATCAAAACAAAGCAGAAGAGTGGTTACACCAAAAGAACATGTGACTTAAGGAGCAACAGCTACAACAGATGGTTCTGACATTTTTGATGAGGTTTCCTGCTTTTGCTACTATTAGTTCATCTACACTCATGAAAAAAATTTAAAGTGTTGGTAACAACAGGTAGGCAGAAACAGCCACACTGTATAACACTGCTGTCACTTTGCACTAATTTAGTGTCCTACCTTTGATACTCCCTATAAAGTGGAAAAAGACCACAAGAAGACAGTAAGTTATGAAAAATGGCCTGTATGATCCAAAAAGATGTTAAAGTCAACGCCTGCAACTACTGATCTGCTTTCAGTGAATTTAAATGGACTCCATGCTACATTGACCTGTTTCCTATGGAACATACAGCTATTACACTTCTTGAGAAACATTGGTCCTGTAGAAAAAAAGGCTGCAAAAGAAATCTTTAAAGAAAAAATCCACTTTAAAACTCTATCTTGAGATGGCTGTTCTTTTTTGAACAGACTATTCATTTCAAGTTTAGACCGATTTTTTATGGCTAAAGTAATGACAACTGCAAGAGAATCGTACAGGAACAAGAATAATAGTTTTACTCTATTTACATGAAATATACACACTCATCATATTAAACATACCAAAAAAACCCACAACAAATCATTTACAACTAGGAAATTATTCTTTTTTTTCCTTTGTTAAAATGTTTAACAGACTTGCTTATAAAGCCTCTTTTCAATTAGTCTCTACTTACGAAAATCATGGTATTAGTAAGAAATTCAGGTATTTCTCCACTACTCTCGACCATTCTTTCATTCACATATGCTTTATTTAAAACCAATGGGTGCTGCATTTTCGAGGATTAACAGACAAGAAACTACTGTACAGGAAGTTTTTGTACTTAATACAATCCTGTACAATTAACTGGGAAGGAGCACAAAGAGAAAGGGAGTGGTTATTCATGCTGATTTTTAAAATAGTGCTAGCTTAGAACAGGCCACCGTACTACACAGGAAGATGAGGAATTTCATCAGGAGGTCCAGCTGACCGAGCAAGTAATTTTTCAATGAACATGTAAGAAAGGAGCATACATGAGCAGGAAACAAAGCTTGACAATGAGTGGGAAATATAAAAGCATAGTTTTGATGCACAGATACAAAACCAGGAAAGCTGAAGCCCAGCTGGAGCTCAACATAAAGCTGGGAAATGACGAAAAAAAGTTAAGAATTTCCACAGGTGCATTAATTGCAAAATGAAATTCTGAACATATTCGTCCAATGATGGAAAGAAAAGCCAGTCTAATGACAGACAGTAAAAACATGAAACCTTCCCCAAGATCTCCAAGGGTTGTGGAAGATTTGGGAAGAATTAGGACACTCAGCAGTCACCTGTCTATGGGGATGGATGGGACCGACACAAGTGTGATGAAAGAGATGGTCAATGCAATTGTGAAGCTTCTCTCACCTATACAAAACTCAACAGTGATTCGGAGATATTCCCAATGACTGGAAAAAAAGGTTAAAGTTGTGCCTGTGTTTCAAATTGATTAGAAGTAAAAAAATTCACAGAATTATAGGCTGGTCAGCCTCACTTCAAACCTTGGAAATATGGAGTGTACCTCCAAGCACTGGCAGAACAACGAGGCAATCTGTAGGCAGCACAAATTCACCAGCCAAGAGCAAGGGTTCAAAAATCTGACAAAATGATTGAAGCCTGTAGCAAATCATCCTTAGGAGGGAGATGAAGGCACTAGTTTTATTTAGATACATGAAGAGGAGACAAAGGAACAATTTCACAGCAGCCTACATCTACCTTCAAATGCAGCTGCAAAGATAGAGAAACAAAGCTTTTTGTAGTGCCAGGAAACCCAGGATATTGGCAATGGACGTGAAATTCAGTTTCAGACATTCAGGATGGGTATCAGGAAAAAGAAAAACAACATATGGAGGCAAACGTGACAGTAGGACAACGTACTTGAAGGGGTTACACAATCTTATTCTTTGAGTTCTTTAAGACTGGTCAAGATAAAGCAAAGTTAACAGATCAAATGTTAGTGATTATTCTGCTTCAACAATGAGGTTGGGCCACATGACCTAGAGTATCCTGTCAATATCCTGTCAACTTATTTCTTTGATGCTGTCATTTTTTCTGCCTTCTTGTAGCAACTTAACTACTTCCTTCACCTTAATTGTTCAGAGCTCTCTGCCACTTCTTCACAATCAAATTCTGCTCTCCAATACAACTGCAGTTTTTGTAGCTTCATTGTAAGAGTAAGCTCGGCAAGTATACTGTTATTCTATGTTTCACAGTATTATAAATATAAATACCAACACAGAACTCAAGAGTTAATCAAGCAGAACTGTGCTCTCATTTCCTGTCAGAATGTAAAGACATGTTCTTTAAGTATTTTCCAAATATTATCTGCTTGTCATTCATCTAATCCCTCACCCACACTTTCACTTAACCATCATTTTTCCAGCTTATACATAAGAACACCCTGTGAAATGTGTTAAAAGCTTACTGACCCCAAAGGTTCTTTTTCTAAGACCTAATCATAAAAGGTAATGAAATTGTTTTAACATAAGTCATCCATACGAAATTTCATTACCTCCCAGTCAGTAAAGTTGGGTCATAATGGGCTGGGAAGGAGAAAAATTATTAAGACAGAGAGAACACAAGCTCTGCAGCTTCTCAAAAAGCACTGTTAGAATATAGTGCATGAACACAAACACCTTTTAAATTCACTTTTTTAGTTGCTTTTAAGGACTCTCAACAATTACATGCTTTCTTTCTATCCCTAAACTTTGACTCTGTTGGCATTCATTTAGTAACCACATCATGAGACTCCCTACACTGACATGTCTAAGAGACTGGACATAGTACTTTGAGAACGCAGCTCTCAGGGACAGTTTGAATCAGGAGCACTTTGATACCCCAGCATGTATATAATCTAATTAGGTCCCTACAAAACAAAACAAAACAAACAAACAAACAAAAAGAGCTATATGAGGACACACAGCCTACCAGCTCAACTAAGACTGATTTTTGGTCTTCACACAACACACTGACACAAGCCACCATGAGATAGTAACAACTAGCAGTGAGATAACGTCTACAAACCCCACTGAACCCAAGGTAGCTCCATGCAAAAGTGTCCTGCAACTCTGCCTCTGTATGCTCCACATTTTCCCATCACTTGAAGCATTCCTGTTCCTCTCCCAGTTACAGAGAGCTGATAGTGTATGTTTTAAACATACACTTCTGTTGATTATTTGCTGACTTATTCTCAGTATCTTGACTTTATCACCATCATCTCTTCCAGGTCTGGTAACTCATTTGCCTTCCTCACTTACAAAGTCACTAACTAAAACCTGAAACTAAGATAAAAAACAAAATTTTAAAAAGATGCACTGAAACTAGAAGAAAAATGTCTAGAGTGAACTGCTTGGATTCTAAAATGACTGGAGGCCACTTTTGCTCTTTTCCACAAATGCCATTAATATCTCCAGACAGTATCCTCCTACCAGGCACCAGTAGAAGCATGCAGAGATGAGTTCTTAATCAGCCACAGTGGTAACACAAAATATTTTGTAAGTTCACAGAACAGAGTTTTCTAGCTTCACAGATGTTCTGTAAAAAACATGGATAGAGGCTTGAACCTACATACAGTTCCATAAGGCACAACTAATGTCCTGCAACCTTGACCTTCTCTTTAACTTCAGCAGTGGACTATCCTTCTGATACTTTCAAGACATGTCAGTCCATATTCATCTCTAAAAGTATCTGAAAAGAAACATAAAATCCATAGAAAATGAACAGCATCAATGTCAGCACCAAATCCCCACGTAATTCATCTTAGATTTGCCAGATGATGAAGAACAAAACAGGCTGTCTCAACCTAATTAATCATCTCTCTTCCTCTAACAAACTTCAGGACATAACAATTTAAAATGCATGCACATGTGTACATATACATAAAGGCAAAGAGAAACGTGAACACAAATTGTGAGCTACAGCTCACAAATCTAATTTCTCCAGTGACCAGAGGTAGGAGCTGTATCAGGGAGGGTCAGGTTGGAGATTAGGAAAAGATTCTTTAGCAGATTGCCAGGCCCTGCAAGCTATCCAGGGCAGTGGTTGCAGCCCCATGTGTTGGAGTTCAAGGACCATCTGGACTACACTCTAAGACACAGGATTTGGATTTTGGGTAGTCCTTTATGGAGCCAGAAGTTGGACTTGGTGGTCCTCGTGGGTCCCTTCTAACTTGGGATATTCTAGGACTCTAAATCTCTGCCTCTGCCTCTTCATTCTTAATAGACTAGAAATAATTTTATGCACAGGACTAAAAACTAAGCTATAGGCCAAATACTAAGATTTTTCCTTTGCTCTTCCCCCTCAACTCCTCCCAGTACCAACTACCCACTAACTGAGAGATATGGCAAGAACGGTGCATACCTGAACAATTACTAACTTACTACACGTAATGATAAACAAAAAAACAAATAAGAAACACCTACATAAATTCAAGAATACCATTTCCTTGAAAGCTACACGCCCAGCATGTTTTATAATGTCAAAATTAATGTTAATTTTTGAAAGTAATGGCATTAGCGCCTTTATTTATTAAACCACCTCAGAAATGAAAAAAAAAGAAAAAAAAAAAAAAAAAAAAAAAAAAAAAAAAACAATTTCTGTTCAGAGAATCTGATCCTAGTCTGTGCTCTTTTTCTCAAAGCGAATAAAATATAACCTACTGATATTCCGTGAACAAATGAAAGTGCATCTCAAAATGCTGTGGTTCAGTCAAACTAAGAAAAACAGCAGGGGGCAGCAGGAGTCTTCCCTAGAGCTTCCTTTCATTCCAGAATGCCCTTCACATGCCTAGTTTTCATTTTTTCATATCCTTGTAAGTGGCTTTTTCAAATACGTCCTGAAGACTAGGTTTTTTCAATCCCTTCATTACGGACTATCAAAAGGGGCTTAAGCTGCTAGCTCCCATGCGGATGTGAGCGACAGGATGAAGGCACACCTTTCCTGGTGAATCTCGGGAGAAATAGAAACATCCGTGCTGCCTAAGCCCTAGAACACCAGAATCCATGAAAGGAGATGATTTGATATTGTAATTATACCTCACTGAAACAGTGTCACAGACAATTCAGATGTATAAGTCTCCCTGAAGATTTTGCAACAGTCTAGATAGACTGTTCCACCCTGATGTTCTTAAAAGCCAAACAGGGACCACAAGGTGACAGTTTGTTAAATTAACAACTAAGGAAACAAAATGACACAATGAAATAAAGTTCTCCAGCAGTACAGAGGCATATATAAACACCTTGCAACATATTTATTTTTACATTAATGGCTTCAAGAGTTCACATCCAAGCAGTTGTTTTTCCACTTTAAAACTGTAAAAGGAAGAATGCTAAAATTCCAGAAAAGGCTTTGGATGAAGAATAAGATTGGGGCCATGCAGCTATACAAAGTCATATACTAAAAATGGTACTTAAATGGGTTTATCAGCCATAGTTTCCCCTGCTGCATGTATTCACCAGACACAAAATTAAATGCCAATAAATGTTTTTGAACTTTGAGATAGTGCAATTGCAAAACTGATTAATACCTTGCAAAAATAGTATCCTCAAAAAGCCCCTTAGGACTTAAAGAAGTAAACCAAGTGTCTCTGAATCAGTATACAGAACCAGGAACATCGCCTTTTGCAAAAGTAAACTGCCCTCGTGAAATTTTAATTATAGTGCTGGTAAACTGCTTACCTGCAGCAAAGAGCATGACTGCAACTGGTCTGTAGAATCGTCTCCGAGATCCCACACAGATAGAGATCAGGCCAACCAGGAAAGCTATGAGAATGATGGCAGCACCACCCAACAGCAGAGCAAGAGTAGCTATCTGCCAGTCTGTGCGGAAAAGAGAGAAAGAAAAATATAAGTCAGTTGCAGCAAAACGAGCCCACGGGTTTGGGATAAACATCAGAATACAAAGAACACAGAGAGCCTGCACCAAAGCTTGGGTAAATACACAGCTACACTTTGGCTTTCTTTCTTCCTAATTAGCAAAACACCTTTATGCAACAGATGTGATTCAAGAGTAAAGTGCCGCAACCTCCCACACATTTTCAAGACTTAGTTGGCCTCACTGGGATTTTAGCTTGAGGAAGACTGAATAATTTGGTAGCTTGGTTTTGCCCAATTTAGAATGAGAAATAGAAGCTGGGCCAGAATCAGACAGCATGCGTTAGCTGACCCCAGCTAAGTGCTGTAACTTTCTCAGAGAACAGAGCAAAAGTCAAACCTCTGCTTGAGCTGACTGGGGTGGCATAGGAAGGGAAATGCAAAGGCTGATCATGGACACATGCCACCGCAGAGGCAGCAAGGCCAAGTAATAACAAAACTATAGGAAGAAGATGATAAAGGAAAGGGAAAATAAATCATTTTCAATACTAATAAAAACGGATGTTAAGCCCTTATAAAGGCAGTAATGTTCATTAGATGCACAGAGTCAAATCTGAAATCCATTCTGAAGTGTCAATTTTACTTTTCTTCCCCCGAAAGCAACTTCTTGATCGAACCCTGTGTATTTGCTAGTTATTTTCACGCATTATGGATGTAGTTATAAACGTCCTTGAAGTCTCAGATAATATAAAAGCAAAATCAATTTGTAAGCAGATGACCACCATGGATCTACAGAATGTCTAGCTTAAAAGCTTCTGTAAGGCCTTAGAGAAGCACATGTTTGTGCTCCCTCTCTTTGCAGTTCTCTTAAGACCCTGTTTCCCTGCAATCGTGGGCTTCAAGAAAAGGAATCCAATTGCTATTTATTACTCATCACTACTATTTTTTTTACTTTAAGGAAGAAGATCCATAATCAGCTTATGAGAAAAGGACCAATGGATCATCTCATTACTTTGAAAGTACTATCATGCATACAGTGTTCAGAATGAAATGGCTAAATGTGTTACATAGTTCAAAGTAAATAACAAGATTAATCATTCTCAGAATAAATGAAGAGATTTTAAGGTTACTAAGAACAGCAGCAATAAAAATCCACATTCTTTTTTTGAGAAGATCAAAATTCTGTGTTTAAAAATAAAAACAAAAAAAACCTAATCAACGAAGAGTACAGCTTGCTTCAACAGGGACCTAATCTGCTGAAGATACCTACAGTGCAGCTGTGGGCTCTGGAAATGGAAGATTTGCAGCTATAATCACAAAAAGCCACTGCGTGCTATATGAAAAAGGATAAAAGAGAGAAATGAAGAAACTGAAGTAAAGAGATAGAAAAGAATTTCTAAAAGAGACAGTTACTTTACATGTGTGCTTGAGTACACACTTATTTTCTTTTTCCTTGCCTGTTTTTTTCTAGACATATTGTTTATTAATACTATAGTTACTAAGTATTCGGCCTCCAAGAACATTTACTCCTTGTTGTGTTATTCGGCCAAGGCTGGATACAATCCTTCATTCTCCTTTCAGCATGCAATCTAGAACAGCAGTTTGCTGTATGTCATAGCATCACAGAAAGGCTTTGCCTGGGAAGGACCTTAAAGCCCACCTAGTTCCAACCCACCAGACTGTTCAGGGCCCAATCCAACCTGACCTTGAGCACCTCCAAGGATGAAGTAGCCACAGCTTCCCTGTGGTGGTGGAATTTCTTCCTTGGATCTAATCTAAATCTCCCCTCTTTTACTTTAAAAATATGTCCTGCTGCTTTACTCTTGGTGGGTGAAAATATGATTCTAGTTATGGATTGGAATTCTATGAGTGGTATTTAACACTGACATGATACTTCAAAAACTCTAAGGAGTTAGTTCAGTGATGATTAGACAAATCCATTCTGTCCCAAAGTTAAAAGGCATAGAAAAGTGGTAAGTCAAAGTGCCAGATGGGAAAACTAAAAGCCCAACATTTTTGAAAGACACAACAAATAATAAAATGTTAAATGTTATCTTCACATTGACCACATGCCAAGTCTAACGCAAATAAAATACATGCAAGTTGAGAGTAGTAAATAAATGGGAAAACCTTTGAGTACGCTACTGCTTCCCAAAGCAAGATCACCAATCAAGTAAAAATAACTAAGGCAAAGATGATGGAAGCAAGAGGTTAGAATATAATTTAGTTCCCAGAACAGACATATCAATGGATTTTAGAAAGGTTAAAAAATAAGCTACCTTACTATAGTAAGATGTGGGAGGTAAAAGCACAAACCAGTGTCAAAAAGCACCTACACACTCAACTAAAAGAGAAATGACTTAGTCAAACAAAATTAGTTCCTGGAATAAGAGAACCTCATCATTGATGTTGGCAAGGGGACCAATATGAAGTTATGTTCCACACTACTGAGAATTAGGTATTTAACATTGTGTTCTGGGCCAAAATGTCTAGAATTGGCTTCTTTTTTTTCCCTTGTAGTTCCAACTTCCATTCACAGGAGCATACAATGCTGCCAACCTTTATGTAGAACTGCAACAGAGGATTCTGTTTAAAGAACACTGTAGAAGTAATTCCAGTCAGACATTACTGCATAAATAATACTAGACTGAGCTTTCCTATATTGCCTACCATGAAACTGTACACTTAAAACTCTTTGTAGTCTCAGAAACATCTTAACTTTCAATTCTGAAAGCCATCAGAGCTGGTGACAAAACAAAACTTAGGTTCCATTAAGTAACGCCTTCTTTCTGCAAGGACTTTCTACCTAACATTTCTTTTTATTAATGCAAAAGGAAAGAAACATACAAAGACAACTGGATCTCTACCTCTGAAGGAAGAACATCCTCTAAGATAAGTTAGCTATAACAAAATGAACACAGCAATCACACTTTCCTACAGTAAACATCAGTAGTTTCCTCAGACTGTCCAGCATCAAAATGAGAACAGCATATTTTTCCTTTACATGGTGCTACCAGTACACATAACACAACCATCATCAGCCTACTTAAAAGGTATTCAAAATATGCTTGCACCATTTCTGAGCAAGAGAAAACCTTGCAAACAAGCTACTGTACTCACTTGTGAAGACTCAGCAGTTCAGTTCATACAGAGATTAAAAAAAATGTGCGTGAAAATGAGCAAAATGGGACTTTAGAGATGATCATTATCAGTTTTCCTTGATTCAAAACATGCAATATTTTAACACTTCAAGAACTCACAAATATTTTTCACTGTGCAACAACTATCTAAGAAAAATGCCAGTAACCGGTAAAATTTCACTGCCACAAATGTTTAAAAAGGGTTTAGATAATAAAAGATGCAGAAATGCCAAAATTAAGTTGCTTTGTTGTTTTACACCCACAGAAACAATACGTTTAAATTGAATTCTTTTGATTTTCAGGATTTAAGCAGTCTGAACAACCAGAGTCATTTTATTATTTTAAAGCATCTCTTAAGATGTAAAAGGATTCAAGACATTTCTTAAGAAAAGCCTCAATTTATAGACTCATAGAATGTTTTAGGTTGGATGGCACACCTCCCACAGACCAGGTTGCTCAAAGTCACATTCAGACTGGCCCTGAATGCATCCAGGAAGAGGGCATCCACAACTTCACTGGGCAACCTGTTCCAGAGTCTCATCACCCTCACAGTAAAAAATTTCTTCCTAATACCTAGTCTAAATCTACCCTCTCCCAGTTTAAAACCTTTTCCCCTTGTCCTGTTGCTACATACCCTCGTAAAAAGTCCCTCCCCAGCTTTCCCATAGGACCCTTCAGGTACTGAAAGGCCACTATAAGGTCTCTTCAGAGCTTTCTCTTCTCCAGGCTGAAAAGCCCCAGCTCTCCCAGCTTGTCCTCATAGAGGGGAGGTGCTTCAGCCCTCTGACCACCTTTGTGGCCCTCCTCTAGACCTGCTCCAACAATTCCATATCCTTCTTGTGTTGGAGGACCCAGAACTGGATGCATTACTTCAAGTGGGTTCTCACGAGAACACAGTAAAGGGGCAGAATCTCAATATATAAAAACTGCTCTGCACTGCCGATAAAGCATTACAATGTGAATACCATAATACCATAGGAAACACATACCTCAGTTCTGATGGTGATGATAACATCTGCATAATTGTTATTTTAACAGACTGCCTGTTAGTTTAAGGATGTGGATCTCTGTATTTGCATACGTATGTAAATCTGAACCCAGGTTCTTCGTACATCAAAACCCATATGGTATAAAATTCATAAAAACTACTATCTTGAGTAAAAAATATTCTTGTATATGATTACATTTCAGTTAATTGTTCAAATATAATTAAGTGCCCTTTTATAAATACAGACTGATTGCATCTCTTTGGAAAATTCTACCTGTTTCTTAGTACGGAAACCACATTAATTTTCACACTGAAAGATGGGACTTATCCTCTCTTTGTCCCTCCAAATGAAATGACCTAAAGCCTTGACAGTATATTCAGTTTTAATTAGAAGCAGCTCTATATGTGCTATTTCTTGGGCCAAACAGTACTTTGGTACCATGTTAAAATCAGAAAAAAGTCACAAAAAAGGTAGAAAAAAAACTCTAAGTTCTACATTGTTTATTAAAAAAGATCATTTGTTAACATGAGAAAGAGCAAGGCAAATAGTTAGCATAATCACAGTTACTATATTTTTGGTGAATTCTTGAAAAGTTAAATATTCCCTGTATGTGGTATTCCATGGTAAGAGGTTTTAGAAGTAAAAACATATTGCTGGAACGTGAGAAGTATTTAGTGCATATGGTTCTTTCAGGAAGCGCAAGTAAAGGAACGCATCTCTTAAAAAGCAATGACTCAGTTCTTTCAAAAGAGGTTCTCCACAGTCCTCTCCTCACAAGAGGCTGAAGAAAGTACACATTTGTTACAAACTGGAAGTAATCAAAGACCTTATAACACAAAATAAAACCTTTGTTTGTTGAGAAAAAAAAAGAAAACAA